TTGATAAAGCTATGGATTTGTGTAGTAGATTCTTCTTAATATATAATAACCATGTATTTTTTTCGTAACATGATCCTTCTGTTTATTTTGCGACATGACACATTCGAAATAACCATTAAAAATTAAACCATACTTTTATTTTACATTTCCCACACCAACTCGTAGCCTACTGCCGAAGACGTAATCTGGATAATTCGCGAATTAACCGGTTAATGTCTACTCAATGCAAAATGGGTGGATAAAATCCGAAGTAGTCATGGCGTTGAAGGCTACCTCGGACTTCACATTTCTCTATTCGAACTTCACATTTTTTTTTACTCTATATCCCAAAATTTAATTACTAGTTCTTGTGAATTGCTTGTCAGAGAATAAAAGGAAAGAAAATGGAAGCAGTTTGGCAGAGAAATGTCGGGAAAGAAACAAGAGTGACATAATATAGCCTTTGTTACCACAATTGCCATTACCTCACTCTTCTGACTATTCTAATACTTTTCTCTAAACTCTTTGTAGATAAATTCTCAAATGTCCGCAAACATTTCTCAGAAGTTCTCAGAATTTCATTAAGGAAAAACAGTATTCAAGAATATCGAGTATATCTCTAAAATAATCCAAAAAAGAAATGTTTTCTAGAAAACAAGGATTGTATTTCCTGTGGGACCTGTGGCTTACTAAGAAACGTAGAAGGAAAATTTGCTGTCTTGTTGCTGGGAGGGATAACGCACAAATGAATTGCATATTAACTACGAAAATTTGCGCTTTTGCCAATCCTGAGCGCAGGCAAAAACGCGCCGCTCAGGAGAGAAATTGTAGTAGTACGATGAGGATGAAAGTTTAAAGAAATGCATTTTGTCTAATTCAATGCTATTTTATGCACTAATAATATTATCTGCTAGCCGTTAGAAAGTGCTAGATTGGATCCAAATATTCGTCACGAAAATGTTCAGCACTAGTTGGTTTGTTGCATTCAGTGTTTCAATAAGAACTCGGTTTAAACTCTTTTTAGAGACTTTGTTGTCAATATTGTTACTAGTTAGTAATGTTTGTAGTTTACGTAATGTCAAAAACTTGTATCGTGACATTATGTTAAAATTTGAACACTTATTGTTTGGTACACTCCCTTTTGAGTAGACTGTTCACAACGACTGTTTCAAGAAATTCATTTTTTAAGTAGATACGAGATATAGTTTTACAGACGTGTGCTTCTGAATTATGGCAAAAATATGACGTCTCGTTCGGGAAATACAGCTCGAAAACAGTGGAGTATCTCCCCTCTCATATTCAATAGGGTTATTGTACTGGAATCGAGTTGTCTACGGCCCAGTGACAATCTGTGACCAATCCTTTGCAGCATCTTTTACCTGGACATCCTAGTGTGAACGTTGTACTGAAAACTGATAAATAGCAAAATGTCATTATTTTATCTATATATCTACAATTATCCTACTCTTCGAAGTAAAATTATAAGATTCTAAGCTGGACATACGCCTCAAAAATATTAAAATGGGTGATGATGAGGGTGAAGGTGAGAGAGAGAGTAGAAGAAATAGTTATTTTATTAAAGTGAGGGAGGAACGATATCTCTACTATACGCACACGGAATAATACCCCCAGAATATCTACCGGCCCCGGAATACCAACCGCCACTCCATTGCCAATATTAGGGCAGTTAAGAATAAATTATTGGAACGAGCATGGAAAAAGTAAAAGAACATCTGATAACCAGAATAATCTTCCTCTTAAGAATGCTCATGGGGAACGATAAAGGGAATTGTCATATACACAAACCAACATAAGGACTAGCCATTTTTATTTTCTTATAACAATTAAAGCTATGATTATATTTTAACATTTAAATCGCATTTTTGTTGTAATATGTCGCGCTTTTGTCTACATTAAGCAAGTCTCATTTCCATGAAATTGTGTGAATAGAAAGTAATGGAGTTCAGGTATGAATAAAAACACAGGGATTAGCATTCAAAATGTTTTTGATACGTAATATTTTGTGGGTCTGTGAATTATGGGTAATGCCGTGGCATAAACTGGCTTGCCTTGATGCAGCCGCAGGATACGGAATCATATAAAATAGGCGGGTTTTGTGTCTTCTTCTTGCAGTCGAGAATCTGTCCCCATTCCGGCAAGAGGGAGAAAACATTCAAATACATTTCTTCTAAATTAGCATCTGGTAAGTAATAAAGACGACTCATCTTTTACTAAATTGTATTTCTGAATTGTCACTGATAAATAATTTAGGGTAAGACTGTATATGAGGGATCGATATATCTCAAATTAATAACGGTATAACGATGAAATTGGAAATTCTCTTTCCATTTTTAAAACATAAATTAGAAAAGTTTATAAAAACTATTTCATTTGCGTAAATGCACACATACACAAATTTTTGTGTAAATGTACATTTGTGTAAGAGTTTATTTGAGTTCTCGCGCGTTGTTGAGGATTACATTAACCAACCATCGGGTGAAATTTCGTTTTGTAACACAATACAGCGTAGCTCATCTGTCTGGTTAAGATTAAGAGAGAAAATATTTATAATAATCATAAACATTATACCGCCGATCCGGTAGCCGAAATCGTTAAGATACTAGTGCCCTGGTGGTCTGAGACGGAAGGATCGCGGTTTCGAGTCCGGCCTGGGGCATGGGTATGTTTGTGCGTGGTTCTGTATATCTGTGATTGTCCATTTCATCCATTATCATTATCATTTCACCTCGTCTCCCAGGGCTGATATACCTGAGTGTAAAATCAGATTCAACAAGAAAATTCTGACCCCCCATAAAAGTCACGTGCACCTACCCGCGATACGTAAGACAGCCGTATGGTTGGCACGTGGTCCCGAAATGACGAATTCTCGACCATGGAATTTTAATTAAAAGAAAAAGTTAATGAAGTCATTATTCTCTTTCATTAACAGTTTTTAATGAGTGATAACAAGTTGAAATTAAGAGTAACATTGAAAGTAACATTGAAATTAAGGAATATAAAAAAATGTTCAATCAAGCGCAACTAAACTTGCAGATGCGTGGACGATGACAGGAAACATTTAGAAAACTTCCTCCAGATAGTTTGTGTAGAAGGTCATGGACGGAGAAACATTGGTTGACACTACGTCTTTCCAAGAAACACAGCGACAATGGCTCAAGGAAGAGATTTCAAATTTATCAGGCATTATGCAATTCAATTTTATTTATAATTTGTTTACAGGGTTGTCCTATTACAAATAATACACTAACGGACACAAATACAAATAATATAGAAATACACAAATAATGCAGTAACAGAATAACAAAATAGTATAATAGCAGAAGATACAAACAATTGAGACAAGAGAACAATATATACAAAATATACAAACATTCAATCAAGTTAGACTGAACTCGTTACAGATATAATAAGGTACTAATAATTCAATCATGAGAGTGCTAGTAGAATTTTGGTTGAACTATTCATTTCTAATAAATACCCGTAATTTCAGAATTGATTAAATAAAAATGTACAGTACTGTACAAAATGTACATCTCGATCACGTTTTTGTCCAGTTTCCCTGATACATTGAGCAAATTCTGAGATGCCCCCTTGTTTTGCTTCAGGACGTAAATGTAGTTTCACTATGCGCACGTTAGTTTGAACTCTCTTTTTGCTTGTAGTAGTAGGAGTAGAGGTAAGGATGAATTACTGTTTTGTTAGAAATGCAGAAAAATAAAATCTGCAGGTCGTTTACCGTTGCGAATAATTTTTCTATACTCGGGAACGAAGATGTCTACGTTGGTAATCTCGTGCTTTTTTAAATTTTATTTTTATTTATTTTTAACTTGTACTAATCTTTTAACTATTTATAGTTAAAATTAGAGGTAGAGATTCTGGAACTCAAGAAACAGCAGTGATCTTCGCCCCCATACGTCACATACAGTTTTTACTGTTTTTGACTAAACAAATCTAATCTAATGTACAGATTTTAGATCTTTCAGAGTTTAGTTCAATCATACAAACGCACACATATTCATATCACTCAGCGAGAAGATTGAATTTCAGTGTATTTTGTGCCACATTTCTACTGTTGATATTGATTTCTTTGTCACTGGACACCCTAAGCGACTACTCTGGCAAATTATATGAACCCCATACGGATTTTCCATACTAGGGTGTAATGGATGGGTGTATTCAACTAATATCTGGAAGAACAGCATTCAACCAGCTCATATGGAGGAGAATTCTAGCAGCCGCTGTATTGATCGGTAGCTTTCCGTGGCTTTTCCGATGAGTAACATGCCGTTGTCGTAGCAGTACCCTCACAAATGGGTCATAGACCTCAAGCGAACTTTCTTTACTCATCCGTGTTCCCCTCCTCTCGCAAACACACACTTGCCTTCCTACACTTCTCCACACAGGAGATCAGGTCTTGTCTCGGCGCTTCCCCACAGGGAGAGATATCTGGAAGGGAAAACAAGCCAATGCGTAGGTCAGTGAAGAATCTCATGTCTATTAGGGGAGGAACTGTGCCATCTCCAGACAGAACTGAAACCAGCTGAGGTGTCTCAGGGCATTAACTGATGTTATTGCTGTACCTGTGATTTATTGATTCATTGATTAGTGTTTTTTTCGGGACGTGTCAACTACTAAGGTCATTAGTTCCGTAAGTGCAGAGAAAGTTTTTCACACAGATGGCAGTGATCTCCCTCCGCTAGATGGCGGCTAGCGGGGTTTTCCCCAACCACGTTTCTTTTACTTGCGGGGCACCACGCCAGCCGGGACAAGCTCTAAGCTAAGAATAGGGCAGTAAAGATCACGAAAAATTGGGCGTGGAGGTACGTTCGTTAGGGTACCCAAAACGATTAATGATCTTCGCAGTTGAAGCGCCAGGATACATCCAAGATACAAAATAAATCTAAGGTCAAATAAATACTACACTTACGGGACAAAAAATCTTAGAAGATAAAGCACCTGGAATTAATACAAACTCACTTTCTTTCTTTCTTTCTTTTTAGAAAAGAAACATCGCAACAAATCACAGAGTCCGCGCAATGAGCTTCTCATGGATATTGCTGGTGACTGTGGCGGCAGAGGGACTAATTTTAGTCGTCTGGGGCAAGGCGGATTCGGATCACCGTCTCTCCGTGCTGCCCTTCGAGGCCGATCTGAAGCCCTGCGTCACCGTTAAGTTGCCTTCTTCTCACGTAGGACGGCAAAGGTACCAGCGCTTCTTCGCCAACGACTCCCTCATCGGCCGCCCCGTGCCCTGCACCCGCGAAGACAAGATCTGCTTCCGGCACAACCTCATCTTCGACCCGGTTACTGACAGATGTGAACCCTTCGGAAAAGTTTGCGACACACTGGAAGAGAAGGTACTTCTAGTGGACAGAACAGAACTGGAACACGGGTAAGTGATAAAGATCAGTACATTGTTATCTGAACGCAAAGTCAGAATTAAGTTTTGGTCTTATGATCGAAACTTGATGGAGGGGTCGGGAGATATAGCTCAGGTCATCAACTGATGTCAATCAATTTACTTCTACTTAAAATTATTTTAAAATTTTACCTTCTAAAACATAAATTAGAACACAATATAAATCTCACAAGTTCACCAGCATTAAATATTTAAAAAAATCAGCTCTGAATGTAGAAAAATGGATCCTAGGGTCCTAGGATCCATCTTTCTACATCCATCTTTCTACATCCGATTCCATCTTACATGATTAACCATTTGTCCGAAGAATGTAGTATTGAAGTTATTTATTTGGAATGTTTATTGCTTTGAGCGTTTCATTCAGGGTCTGAGGACAATTGTATTCATCAAATATCAACTTTGCGCGAAATCTTGTTAATATCACAGGTAAGGTTTTGTAGGAGTGAGGATCACCGAGAGAAGTGTACATTTTTTTGCAATCCTCTAGAAAGCTTGAAAGTTTACGGATAAGCAAGAGTTTATTTTGCAGAATTCTCGCGTTTGAAACGGTACTTCAAATCGCGTACATTGATTCTTCATGAGGCTAGCTACCTATGCAATAATTTTTAAAGACATAATGAACAGTCAGTTTTCTCACACCTTTAATTTTTTTGTTCTGATATGCCAAGTCACCATAAGAGCACATGTTAAATGGACAAGCTTCACGGCCATATTACTCGACAACTAGACTGTGAAATCGACTCAAATTCTACCATTACATAAAAGAGCGTTTCATATTTCGGTTAATACTCTAAAAAGAACTGCTTAAATATAACATGTTTCTCGCTCTATCTTAACATGTGCATTCCCAGATTTGTATGAGTTGTTCCGAAAGTCTTTTGATTGTAACCATGCATGACGTGTAATCGCAAAACTTAATGACATTGCCGATAAAATACGATGACAGTTAAGTTATAACATTTCCAAATAAATCTAACAATCTTAAGTGGTTTGATAGTTTACGAGCAACGTAACAAAAAATGGACTGGGTTCGATATAACATGAGACGATTTGTTTCTGGTCTTCCCTGCCCTCCTGTACATTAAAAATAGTCCAATTCCACTTGCAATTCAGTTTTATAGGTGATTACTATTTAAGTGTGCACATAGCTATAAAAATATTATTTTTCATGTCGTGTGCGTATGTTATTGTTTATTTTGAACTGTCTCATTTTAAGTGCAAAAACCACATGCTGTTGACCTATTGGTGATTTTCTTTTACATTCAACTAATTTTGTATGTTATCATTACTGTTATCAACATGCTTGAAACTTTTGGTAATTACGATTTAAACGAGTAATACCAGTATAAGTTGATAAGAAAATGTGTTTTATTAACAATAATAACAAGAACAAATATTTGTTTCAAAAGCCTAAATGAAAAATCGAGGAAAGGGAAGCAAAACATATTACCTAACCAGATAAGTAGATAAAATCGTAGCATATTATTAAAATTCGTAGCAAAGTAGATATAATAGATATATTATTAAAAGTTATAAGATTGATTCATGTTTTTATTTGTCTTCACAGATCCGGACGTGTTGTTGGCTCTTGTCAAGAGTATAACAATGAGTGTTCTGGATATCGTATGGCGTACGATGGCATCTGTCACGAGAAGATAAGATTAGGAAGTCTCATCTGTGGGTGCCACTCAATATTGACCCGTCATTTCCTAGGCGATATGGAATGCTGGGATGAGCCCATCACGCCAATCAGCGTGCAACAACCCGAAGAACACGGTCTTTGTGTGATTCCAGATCTTCGGAACCCAGACAAACCGCTCACATTTCTTTGCATATCCTGTCGAAAACATTTATGGCAATCTGACATGTGACAGATCACAAATGGAATGTTTTCATGCGTGGACAGTATGGGTTTCGGAGTACGAAGGCTGCCACGCACTTCTAGAGCAAGGCCCATGCGCAGACGATCATGTGGTGGCGCTGGATGCCCAGGCGGCGACTGAAGGGCGGGCGGAGGGCACGTGTGTGCACGTGCGGGGCGGCTGCCCTAAGGGCTACAAACGCATGATCTTCGACGGGGAAGGTCACGAGGACAGGGAAATTGCGATAGCAGCCCCCGGGAAGATAATTTTGGACGCGTTTGGGAGGCACTTTGTGGTTGATCGGGATTTAGATTTACTTTTCCAGTCTTCAGTGCCAAACGGTCAGTTTTGCTCAATACAAAGTGTGCCTTTGATGTATGGCGGGTTTCAACCGATGATGCCAGTACTGTGATGGTTCTTATTTTTCCTATTTCATGGATAGAAAAACAGAATTATACTTTTATAGGGGCCGACGATCGTACGGCTTTCACCGTAGTTTTGAAAAATGGTAACTTACTGGTTTATAAAATTTTAAACCCTTTCAATTACAAAATCAAAAAGAAACAAAGATTAAATAATAATAAAAATGACAATAGAAACTTTACACAACTGGTAACTAAAAGAGAAACAAACAAATATTAAAAGTTTTTTGAACGTGTCCACATTCCGTTTGTGCTTCCAGATGTATACCTCCTTGCTTGTATTCCCAAGACGTAAAACATTGTGTATACTCCGAGATCTTCATCTCATTCCCTCACATTACAAACATATATACCTTGTCTGTACTCAGAGGCGTTTAATTTTATTCTTTATTTCAAAACGTATTATATATTTCAGGACATCAAACTTTTGTCTATCTTTCGAAACGTGAAATTTTCGATCACTCAGCGAAACGACTTATCTGGTTGTCGATTTCTTTCTTCAGTATATCTCGTCCGTCTTCATAGTATCCACACTATGCCGTTCTCCCAAGTAGTCCGTGAATGTAAACGTCTTCTCGATGTCAGATACATGAAATATTGACTCGTTACAGTATGAAGCCGAAAGTTTAAAATCAGGTTGTAACTTAACGCCCAGTGACCAACCATTTCGGGTGTGAAGAAACTTCACCGTGTCCTTTGAAAATTAAAAATAGTTATTCCACCGGCAAACATGTAGCAGCACATAGTGCAGAATCTTTAGTTTTCGCGTGGCTCTAAATGTTACTTTGTACTTGTGCTTCAAATCTAGAAACTCATAGTGGGTGGGTGGGCTAGCAGCTTGCATCATTCAATGCTACATATTATAGGTATCCATCCATAAAACAATGTTTCTTTAGTGCATAGCGTTTCAGCTCACTACGTTGAGAAGATGTTAATTAAGATAATGTTAAGACAAATGTATGCGCACTCTTATTCCCTATGTAAGCAACGGTTTTTCACTTAGTTGAAGTTGTTACAAATATTCAACGTATTACAAATGTTCATCAAAAATACTACATAAAATACAGTATCATTATTAGAACCTTTTCTTGTTATTTGCAAATCTATCCGAAAAATAAATAGGTGAATTCAAAGTACTGCAACATGGTTTTCAGGACGCATATCTCCCTCAAGTAATAAATTTGGTCGATGTATAACATGTAATGTAAAAATATATCATGTAAAAGATGATGTAATATGTATGTTAAAATGTAATACAACACATGTTGTAAGTTCAATTTTCAATGTCTCTTGAATTTTTACCATGACGCCATAGTCTTTTAAGGTAAGACAAATTTACAAAGTGTGTAAGCAGATTAATAATAATAATAATAATAATAATAATAATAATAATAATAATAATAATAATGATAATAATAATTATACTGAAATATAAATATCATTTGTAGAAAGAAATTGGAAGTACATTGGACCTAGTTTCATATCACTATAATTTACTCCTTTGTTGATACTCTATGCTTTTATCTTTTGCTTTTTGATGTGGTCTTTATTTTCAAAAATATTTTAACAGGAATGGATTTAAATTCTTGAAACTTAAATAAATGAAAAGCTCAATTGAGTCATAGATTATCATCCAACTCTTCATATGAATTCTCTTGTTTTAAAACTGCAAACATCGTGCTTCAAAGATGCAAGTCTTGCTGCACGCGATTGATTCCGCAAGTGCAAATATTGATTGAATGACTGGTTTATTCAGTTTTCGGCCTAGTTAAAAGCGATGACTATTTGTCCAGTATGTGAAGTGCATTTTATACACCTGGAGGTGGCAATGACCCCTCTCTCCCTGGAACGTGAGATCGAGCGCCGACTTATACTCGTCTTGCTGCAGTTTTCCCTTACAGGTATCTTCTTCGGGGGCTCCGGTGGTTTGTGTCTTCGGTTGTACAATGGTGTGCGTATTGGGTTGTTGTACTCATGTTTGCGGGTTTACGTCCGATTGAAGCCATGGAGTTTTAATGGCAAAAAATTGTATGTCTTCCTTCCGAGGGGAAATAGGTCTGGACAAGATTGTAGTGGTATTAAGAGCGGTCAGTGGTGTAGAAGAGGCGACTTTGTGGGCTTTATAAAGGACAATTTTTTAATAACCTATTCAAATAGTTATAATGAAAAAAGCAAATAAATAATTCACATAATACTCCAATAAGAAAAAATATAAAAGGACTAATATTGAATAAAGGTACGTAATTTCTAAAACATTATCAGTTTATGTCTTTTGTGATTTGCCTTTTGTAGTTCCTGTTAGGTGTCTTCTCGAGGTACGCTACGTGAAGACGCGGTCGGATATTAGATTTATTAATAATTCTGCAATTAAGTGTAAGAACTTAAGTGTAGTTTATTGCAGCAATTTGAATACATTTGAATATATGGTATTTTTACTTCAAAATTGCATGTCTCGTACTTCGACCAGTAATAAATCAAGTTTCTACATATCTGATGTCTTTGTATTAATAGATTTCAGCAGATCACTTAAGCTTTCAATATATAGAGACGCAAACCGGTATGCAAAACGATTAACATTGAAATAAAAAAAACCTTGTTCAGAACAAAACCGACCTTAGACCTGAGCTGCTCACAATTCAAACAACATCGTAAATCACGTGCGTGCCTAAGAAGTAAAGTTCCTTTTAAGGGGCAACAGGAAACCGGATTGCCTTGAGTAGACGGAAGATTCGGGATTATATAGAGTTTGCGCGATATGTATCTTCCTCTCGCAGTTGAGTCTCCGCCACGACACGGAGAAGAGGCACAGGGACACAACTACATTGCGACTACATTCACAGCTGGTAAGTAGCGCGGTGCCCTGGGCTGGTGGTGCGGGTAAAAACCTCTAAGAAGGCAGATGGAGCAGGTCGTGAAGAGGAGAGATAGATAGATAGATAGAGAGAGAGAGAGAGAGAGAGTCTATAAATAAAAATTCTCTGCAAACAATTTAGTTACCTAAGACCTCCCTTCCCATACCTAGCTAGTGCAACAAACAGCTGATTGTCGGCTTGCAGAGTTTTCCCCAACTAGGTATCTTCCACTAGTGAGGCACCACCCAGTCGGAACAAGCTCTAAGCAGTAGCATGTAAGTGTATGTGAGCTGAAGTAAGGGATGAGGATAGGGCAAGGAAGAGGAAGAAAAAAATCGCGCGAGGTCTGTGTTTCGTTTGTTAGAGTGAAGCTCGGGAATTCACCTTGTGTTGATAGGTAAAAACCCAACCCGAATTCCTTCCCAATTCTGGCCGCTGAATAGTCTCGCAGGAGCGCGTAGTAGGAGACGCGTACGCGGAGATGCTACCTGGCGGTCATCCTAAAAACTGACGACGACGAGACGTGACGATTATGATTGATGGCGAATTACTCCTGCGCAATCAATGGAAGATTACTCCAACCGCAAAGCATTCAACGCCCTCAAGGATCTGGGATACTCGTTGCGTCTATGTAGTCGCAACATTTTTTTTAATAGGCGCATATAAGTAGGTAGTGAAAGGCATGTAAGTGTAAAGTTTTTAAGTAAAAATCGTTTAAGCTGTTATGTAAATTTGAAGTTCTTTTTTGGGAATCTTTGGTGTCGGAGAAGAAATAAATTGTTGCTGGTTGAAAAGACTTTTCGAAGTTGACGTAGTAGTAAAGAATAGAGGAGTAGTTAGAACTGGTAGGAAAAAGTATGTGCTTTTGTAGCATCACTAGTTAAAATTTCAAATATTGCACGCAAGTATGCGCGAAAACTACTAAAATTTTCAAAAAAAAATGTTAATGACCTTATTGAAAGAACAAGATGGAGAACTTTTTTTTTCATTTGATGGAAAAATCTCTATCTACAATTTTGCAGTTGTACGAAGACGCCGAAAATATTAATTTGTTTGCTACTTTTCGAAAATTTAGGGTTAACAATAAAAATCAGACCAACGCCACTTTAATATGAGTATTTTACTCTATTCTTACAAGAAATTTAATGAAAGAATTTTGGGGTCATTTTTGAGAAAATTTTGAAAATGTCCCAAGGGCTTCATGTAAAGACTCCCAAGGATGTTTTTAGCTAAAGAATATTGAACCCTAAAGACTGTTTTTCAAAATCGCAGCACTTCGAGTCGAGCCAGATCTACTTCACAATATCAATTTTGGAAAAAAAATTCTACGTATTGTTTGAGTATTAGGTGTGTTCCCGGACGGAGGGAGGGACGGACGGACAGATGAGCGGACAGATGGACCGACATGGACGGACGGACAGACAGATAGACAGTTAGTCGTACGCACGTTTTGAAAAGAAACATTTTTCGGTATCCAGGGACCCCAAACGTGTATCTCTGTTGAAATCTCGAAATCAATTTTTCCCAAAATTACATAACTT